CTGGTTCAGTCCTGGTTCAGTCCTGGTTCAGTCTTGGTTCAGTCCTGGTCTAGTCCTGGTTCAGTCCTGGTTCAGTCCTGGTTTAGTCCTGGTTCAGTCCTGGTTCAGTCCTGGGGTAGTCCTGGTTCAGTCCTGGTTTAGTTTTGGTTCAGTCCTGGTTTAGACCTGGTTCAGTCCTGGTTTAGACCTGGTTTAGTCCTGGTTTAGTCCTGGTTCAGTCTTGGTTCAGTCCTGGTTTAGTCCTGGTTCAGTCCTGGTTCAGTCCTGGTTTAGTCCTGGTTCAGTCCTGGTTCAGTCCTGGTTTAGTCCTGGTTCAGTCCTGGTTTAGTCTTGGTTCAGTCCTGTTTTAGACCTGGTTCAGTCCTGGTTTAGACCTGGTTTAGTTCTGGTTTAGACCTGGTTTAGTCCTTGTTCAGTCCTGGTTTAGACCTGGTTCAGTCCTGGTTTAGTCCTGGTTTAGTCCTGGTTCAGTCCTGGTTTAGTCCTGGTTCAGTCCTGGTTTAGTCCTGGTTCAGTCCTGGTTCAGTCCTGGTTTAGTCCTGGTTTAGTCCTGGTTTAGTCCTGGTTTAGACCTGGTTTAGACCTGGTTTAGTCCTGGTTTAGTCCTGGTCTCCCTGTTATCTCTCTCTTCTTCCTCTCTTTGTACAAACTCATCACTTGTTTGTTGGTTTTCTCACATTCCTATTGAAGCCGTCACTGAGACCACAGCGAGACCGGACCAAGACCACAGTGAGACCGGACCAAGACCACAGTGAGACCGGACCAAGACCCCAGCGAGACCGGACCAAGACCACAGCGAGACCGGACCAAGACCACAGCGAGACCGGACCCAGACCACAGTGAGACCGGACCAAGACCACAGCGAGACCGGACCAAGACCACAGCGAGACCAGACCAAGACCACAGCGAGACCGGACCAAGACCACAGCGACACACACACACACACACCGACACACACACACCGACACACACACACACACACACACACACAGACACACGCACACACACACACGCACAGACACACACACAGACACACATACACACACACGCGCACACACACACAGACACACACACACACGCACAGACACACACACAGACACACACACGCACACACACACACACACACGCACAGACACACATACACACACACGCACACACACACACCGACACACACACACCGACACACACACACACACAGACACACATACACACACACGCACACACACACACCGACACACACACCGACACACACACACACACACACACACATACACACACACGCACACACACACACACACACACACACACACACACACACACACACAGACACACACAGACACACACACACACACACACACACACACACACACACACACACACAGACACACACACACACACACACACAGACACACACACACAAGCACAGACACACACCGACACTCACACACACACACAGACACACAGACACACACACACATACACACACAGACACACACACACACGCACACACACACACCGACACACACACACGCACAGACACACACACACACACACACACAGACACACACAGACACACACACACGCACAGACACACACACACATTGCAGCTGTCATCGCGCTGATCCTGGCTCTTCCTGGAAACCCCCCCCTCACTTCCACAGTCTATAGTGGGACATACCCCCCTCAGCTGTGAGACTCCGGACATAACTGAGGTTAAGACCTGAATATGAACCAGAGACCAGAGAGAGACCAGAGAGAGACCAGAGAGAGACCAGAGAGAGACCAGAGAGAGACCAGAGAGAGACCAGAGAGAGACCAGAGAGACCAGAGAGAGACCAGAGAGACCAGAGAGAGACCAGAGAGAGACCAGAGAGAGACCAGAGAGAGACCAGAGAGAGACCAGAGAGAGACCAGAGAGAGACCAGAGAGACCAGAGAGAGACCAGAGAGACCAGAGAGAGACCAGAGAGAGACCAGAGAGACCAGAGAGAGACCAGAGAGAGACCAGAGAGAGACCAGAGAGAGACCAGAGAGACCAGAGAGAGACCAGAGAGAGACCAGAGAGAGACCAGAGAGAGACCAGAGAGAGACGATGATGTCACACTGTGGCGATACTTTCTCCCACGATTCAATTATTATTAATTTTTATTTAGTTTTTTTTTCTTCTACAATTTAAAAAATAATCGGCATCAACACTTCATACGTGGCTACATTACACATCTCCATCTCATTTATCATGAAAAAAAGTGTATTTTTTCTTTTATTTACAGTGGGGCAAAAAAGTATTTAGTCAGCCTCCGATTGTGAATGTTCTCCAACTTAAAATAATGACAGGTCTGTAATGTTCATCATAGGTTCACTTCAACTGTGAGAGACAGAATGTGAACAAAACGCATCCAGGAATTCACATTGTAGGATTTTTAAAGAATTTATTTGTAAATTATGGTGGAAAATAAGTATTTGGTCAATAACAAAAATTCTACACATTACTTTGTAATATATCCTTTGTTGGCAATAACAGGTCAAACGATTACTATAGGTCTTTATCAGGTTTGCACACACAGTAGCTGGTATTTTGGCCCATTCCTCCATGCAGATCTTCTCACAGATGTTCAATGGGGTTGAGGTCTGGAGACTGGCGAGGCCACTCCAGGACTTTCAAATGCTTCTTACGGAGCCACTCCTTCGTTGCCCGGGCGGTGTGTTTGGGATCATTGTCATGCTGGAAGACCCAGCCACGTTTCATCTTCAAAGCTCTCACTGATGGAAGGAGGTTTTAGCTCAAAATCTCCCAATACAGGGCCCCGTTCATTCTTTCCTTAACACGGATCAGTCGTCCTGTCCCCTTAGCAGAAAAACAGCCCCAAAGCATGACGTTTCCACCCCCATGCTTTACAGTAGGTATGGTGTTCTTCTTCCTCCAAACACGACGAGTTGAGTTTATACCAAACAGTTGTACTTTGGTTTCATCTGACCACATGACATTCTCCCAATCCTCTGCTGTATCATCCATGTGCTCTCTGGTAAACTTCAGACGGGCCTGGACATGCACTGGCTTCAGCAGGGGGACACGTCTGGCACTGCAGGATTTGATTCCCTGTCGCCGTAGTGTGTTACTGATGGTAACCTTTGTTACTTTGGTCCCAGCTCTCTGCAGGTCATTCACCAGGTCCCCCCGTGTGGTTCTGGGATTTTTGATCACCGTTCTCATGATCATTTTGACCCCACGGGATGAGATCTTGCGTGGAGCCCCAGATCGAGGGAGATTATCAGTGGTCTTGTGTGTCTTCCATTTTCTGATAATTGCTCCCACAGTTGATTTGTTCACACCAAGCTGCTTGCCTATAGCGAACTATCTGAATGACGTCACTAAGACACGCCCCCGCCGCCTGTCAGGTCCCGCCCACATGTTTCGGACAAACACTGCCCAAACGAATCAAATACCACTCGTCACTTTAGATGAAAATGAAATACCAGGAGCTAAATTCCACCATCAAACCATCAGGACCATAGTTAGACCAGTTATAACGTTGGCTTGAATGTCGTGGTCTGTAACTGGTAGAAAGTTTGAGTTGATAAAAGGTAACGGTGAGGATTATGCTAACATTATCCTGTCATTTCAATTCAATGCTAGCGCCTTCTTTGTTTTATCTACTGTCTCTGAGAGAAACTATCAGAGCCACACTCAGTAAACACTAATGACAAACACATGTAAATGTTAATGGGAGAATATATTATACGTACATTAGTAACACACGTGCACGGAGGTTTTCAGAAGTATCTTTAAGGTTTTCATGACAAAAATACTTTTTTAATGCGACTAAAGCGATCTCTTTTTTGAAGTAGGTGAACCAGCCTCACTGTTACTCGCCTGCCACGGGAAAACCTTTGAACTATTTTCTTTACATTAAATAAACCTAGTGACAGAAGTTTATTTTGTGTGTTCAGTTCGTACAAAGCAGTATAATAAACGGACCCGACGCACTTCGTCTGAACTTATTTTCCGATAGTCACGAAGTTGAACAAATCCCTCTCATCTTTCTTCAGGTGTGAGAATTGTAAACTTTCTGGATTAGGACAAACTATACTAATATGGACTGACGGGGTAAATGGTATAAAGAGAAAGTTTGTGCTAACTACATTCAGAAGAGCTCAGACGGACCTGATCCAGACGGTCCAGGTCCAGGTCCAGGTCCAGGTCCAGTCCCAGCTAAACGTAGCTAGGACTGGACCTGGAGGCTCCACAGTTGGTCCAGCTTCACAGACCAAGTGTTCTGAACAAATATGAGCCGACCACAAGCACCCACCTCCTGCACTTGTCCTGGTCTGATCCTGGTCTGGTCCTGGTCTGGTCCTGGTCTGGTCCTGGTCTGGTCCTGGTCTGGTCCTGGTCTGGTCCTGGTCTGGTCCTGGTCTGGTCCTGGTCTGGTCCTGGTCTGGTTCGACGGTGTGGTTTAACAAACGGGTTGAATGTTACTTTCATATAGTCCTTTTAAGATAAGATAAGATGTGCCTTATTTATCTCACAGAGGAGAAATGTACATGTCACATTTGGCATGGATAGAACACTCAGATTGTGCAAAAGGAGGAAATGTGCAAACATGTTACATGCAGGATATATGTACAATAAAGTGACAATAATTATGTACAACAAAAGTGACAAGTGTCAATTGGAAACAGTGTCAATAGTAGTGCAGGTTTTCACACAGTGATCATTTAAAGTGACTTATTGTACAGTCTGACAGCGGTGGGGATAAAGGCCCTGCTCCTTCCTACACTGAGGGTGCCTCAGTCTTCCACAGAAGGAGCTCCTCAGCTCCTCTACAGTCCTGTGCAGTGGGAGGTGTTGTTCATGATGGAGGTGACTTTGACTAGACCCTCCTGTCCCTCACCTCCTCCACAGAGTCCAGGGGCCTCCTGTCCCTCACCTCCTCCACAGAGTCCAGGGGCCTCCTGTCCCTCACCTCCTCCACCAGAGTCCAGGGGCCTCCTGTCCCTCACCTCCTCCACAGAGTCCAGGGGCCTCCTGTCCCTCACCTCCTCCACAGAGTCCAGGGGCCTCCTGTCCCTCACCTCCTCCACAGAGTCCAGGGGCCTCCTGTCCCTCACCTCCTCCACAGAGTCCAGGGGCCTCCTGTCCCTCACCTCCTCCACAGAGTCCAGGGGCCTCCTGTCCCTCACCTCCTCCACAGAGTCCAGGGGCCTCCTGTCCCTCACCTCCTCCACAGAGTCCAGGGGCCTCCTGTCCCTCACCTCCTCCACAGAGTCCAGGGGCCTCCTGTCCCTCACCTCCTCCACAGAGTCCAGGGGCCTCCTGTCCCTCACCTCCTCCACAGAGTCCAGGGGCCTCCTGTCCCTCACCTCCTCCACAGAGTCCAGGGGCCTCCTGTCCCTCACCTCCTCCACAGAGTCCAGGAAGCAGCCCAGAGTGGAGCTGGCCCTCCTGACCAGCTTGTTCAGTCTGTTTCTGTCCCGCTCTGTGCTGCCCGGGGCCCAGCACACGGCAGCGTAGTAAATGGCAGATCAATCAATCAATCAATTTATTTGAGCAGGTCATACAAAACAAAAAACAATCCAATAGGAAAACATTTCAAGAAAAAGTAGACACAGCTCAAAGGGAGTAAGCCGAAGTAAAATACTTGTGTGAGCTGACCCCAATTACATTTTCATATCGTTTTTCAATTAGGTGTGTGTGTTGTGTGTTGTGTGTGTGTGTCGGAGTGGGTACACATGCATGCGTGTATATGTTTGTTTCTGATAGTGCATGAGTGCTGTGTGTATTTGTATGTGTACTTGTGTTTATGCCTGGGTATAAGTGTATGTTTGTGTTTGTGTGGATGCACCCAGATTGAAATGTATTTGTGCATGTGTGCGTGTGCCTGAGTGGGTATATGTATCTGTGTGTGTGTGTGCACATTTGTTAGCCATGAGCATATCCAGAGATGTGTTTGCATGTACTACACATGTATGTGTCCCGAGCTTGAGCTTCACACATGCACGCGTCCACACCCCTCAGTGTCTGAGCACGTGCACGCGTCCACACCCCTCAGTGTCTGAGCACATGCACGCGTCCACACCCCTCAGTGTCTGAGCACGTGCACGCGTCCACACCCCTCAGTGTCTGAGCACATGCACGCGTCCACACCCCTCAGTGTCTGAGCACGTGCACGCGTCCACACCCCTCAGTGTCTGAGCACATGCACGCGTCCACACCCCTCAGTGTCTGAGCACATGCACGCGTCCACACCCCTCAGTGTCTGAGCACATGCACGCGTCCACACCCCTCAGTGTCTGAGCACATGCACGCGTCCACACCCCTCAGTGTCTGAGCACGTGCACGCGTCCACACCCCTCAGTGTCTGAGCACGTGCACGCGTCCACACCCCTCAGTGTCTGAGCACGTGCACGCGTCCACACGCCTCAGTGTCTGAGCACATGCTTGTGCCATGAAGATCCAGCTGTAGGAAAACCGTAAGCACGCACACACCTGACACAGTGTGCACGTGTCTACAGATATTTACAGGATGAAAATCACCTGCATATTCTCACATTGGTAAACATGAGCATATACAGCAAGTGCTGTACATTGTGCCAATAAATAAGGTCATTATTCAGTAAACAGAAACTCCAAGCAGGCTACAGTAGGAAGTCTACTGTATAAGTACAAGTACAATATGTGAGTTAGCAGGTTTGGCTAGACTAATGAGAAAGCAGAAGTTTCATAACAGATTTACAGTCCTTCTTCAACTTCATATTTTTTAAATACGCTTACCTTAAACAGTCTTTTGAAATTCACTAATGAGGTAGTACATTTAAGACAATCCGTTAATTCATTCCATAAGTCCACTCCCCTTTGGGTAATGAACATGTTTTTTAAAGTAGTACGAACACGCTGTTTCTTAAAGTTCAGTCGGCCTCTTAGATTGTATTTTGAGTCCCTTTCAAGGAACAGGTTTTGTATATGGTTTGGAAGCAATTTTTTTCGAGCTTTGTACATGATCTGTAATGTTTTATATTCAACCAGATTCATTATCTTTGATTGCAGAAACAGCGGGTTTGTGTGGTCTTTATAACCAGTATTGTGTATGATTCTTAAAGCCTTTTTTTGCATGATGAAGATGTCTTTGAGATTATGTTTGTAAGTATTTCCCCATATTTCGGTGCAGTAACTAATATAGGGCAGGACGAGCGTGCAGTAAACTGTGTGCGATGCTTTTGTATCCAGGAGATGTCTAGATTTCCTCATTATTGCAATAGATTTGGCTATCTTTTTTTTAACACTATTAATTTGTGGTTTCCAGCATAACTTCTGGTCAATAATGACTCCAAGGAAATTATGTTCATAGACACGTTCTATGATTTCATCTTTAATCATTAGTTTGGGTTCTGTGGTAATTTTTTTATTTCCAATCACCATGAATTTGGTTTTCTTTAGATTAAGTGATAAGCTACCACAGAGTCATAAAAAGTCCTGAGCAGAGACCTGCTCACTCCGAAGGACCTCAGCCTCCTCAGAAGGACCTCAGCCTCCTCAGAAGGACCTCAGCCTCCTCAGAAGGACCTCAGCCTCCTCAGAAGGACCTCAGCCTCCTCTGAAGGACCTCAGCCTCCTCAGAAGGACCTCAGCCTCCTCAGAAGGACCTCAGCCTCCTCAGAAGGACCTCAGCCTCCTCTGAAGGACCACAGCCTCCTCAGAAGGACCTCAGCCTCCTCAGAAGGACCTCAGCCTCCTCAGAAGGACCTCAGCCTCCTCAGAAGGACCTCAGCCTCCTCTGAAGGACCACAGCCTCCTCAGAAGGACCTCAGCCTCCTCAGAAGGACCTCAGCCTCCTCAGAAGGACCTCAGTCTCCTCAGAAGGACCTCAGCCTCCTCAGAAGGACCTCAGCCTCCTCAGAAGGAAGAGGCGACTTTGGCCCTTCTTGTGCAGGGCGTTTGTATTATGGACCAGTCCAGTTTATTGTTAATGTGAACACCCAGGTACTTGAAGCTGTCCACCAGCTCAATGTCCTCCCCCTGGATGTTCAGCAGCGTGTGGGAAAGTGGTTTTCTCCTGAAGTCGATGATCATCTCCTTGGTCTTACTGGTGTTCAAGCACAAGTGGTTGCGCTCACACCAGTCCTTGATAACCGACCGATATTCCAGTTCGTTCCCCTCAGACACACAGTATCTGGAATCGCTCGGACAAGCACCATAACTGCAGTGTTTTGTTGTCACCATGATTCAGTGATTTAGCCCAAGTAAATACACACGTATGTGGAGAACACAGTAGAACTCAACGAGTCGGACAATGTTTGTCCGAAACATGCGCAGTCATCTGAGCTATTTTTAGCACATTTCGGAAACCGGACAGTGCCCTATTGTAGATTCACTCTTCCCAGTCTGGTGCAGGTCTACAATTCTTTTCCTGGTGTCCTTGGACAGCTCTTTGGTCCTGGCCATAGTGGAGTTTGGAGTCTGACTGTTTGAGGCTGTGGACAGGTGTCTGTCTGTGGACAGAAGAGCTTCTTAAAGAAGAAGTTACAGGTCTGTGAGAGCCAGAGATCTTCCTTGTTTGAAGTGACCAAATACTTATTTTCCACCATCATTTACAAATAAATTCTTTAAAAATTCTACAATGTTAATTTATTTTAATTTTTTTTCCACATTCTGTCTCTCACAGTTGAAGTGAACCTATGATGAACATTACAGACCTCTGTCTTTATTTTAAGTTGGAGAACTTGCACAATCGGAGGCTGACTAAATACTTTTTTGCCCCACTGTGGATCATAAATTGGCATATTGTATATTTCTGACCGATATATCGATAATCGTCATATCGTGATGAAATCGTTATTATGAGCTTTGTATCGTATCGTATCGTATCGTGAGGTACCCTTAGGTTCCCACCCCTAGTGGTGATGTCACACTGTGGTGATGTCACACTGTGGTGATGTCACACTGTGGTGATGTCACACTGTGGTGATGTCACATGAACTTTATTTAATTGCTGTAAGTTCTAATCTTTGATTCAACATGTTCTGATGAAACTATCGAGACAGAAACTCATTTCAAACTGTCACAACTGTTCTGTTATCAAGACTTGGACTTTTCACCTACGAACGGGAAACTGGTCCACAGCCTCAGTCGTGGGTCCACAGCCTCAGTCCTGGGTCTACAGTCTCAGTCCTGGGTCCACAGCCTCAGTCCTGGGTCCACAGCCTCAGTCCTGGGTCTACAGCCTCAGTCCTGGGTCTACAGTCTCAGTCCTGGGTCTACAGCCTCAGTCCTGGGTCTACAGCCTCAGTCCTGGGTCCACAGCCTCAGTCCTGGATCTACAGCCTCAGTCCTGGGTCTACAGCCTCAGTCCTGGGTCCACAGCCTCAGTCCTGGGTCCACAGCCTCAGTCCTGGGTCTACAGCCTCAGTCCTGGGTCTACAGCCTCAGTCCTGGGTCTACAGCCTCAGTCCTGGGTCTACAGCCTCAGTCCTGGGTCTACAGCCTCAGTCCTGGGTCTACAGTTTCTATCTCGCTGGTCTCTCTGGATCTGGTCTTGGTCCGGGTCTGGGTCTCCCTCTATCCTGCTGGCCTCTCTTTGGTCCTGGTCCTGGTCTGAGTGTCTCTCTTGTCTTGGTCTGGGTCTGGTCCTGGTCTGGGTTTCTTTCTGGTCTAGGTCTGCATCCTGGTCTGTCATTGGTCTCTCTCTCTCTCTCTCTCTCTCTCTCTCTCTCTCTCTCTCTCTCTCTCTCTCTCTCTCTCTCTCTCTCTCTCTCTCCTGGTGTCCCTTTGTTCTCTCTTTCTCGTCCTGTTCCCGGTCTGGGTCTGGGTCTCTGGTCCTGGTCCTGGTCTGGGTCCCAGCTCCAGACCGTTTCCTCAGTCTTATCTGTGTCTTTGGGCGCCGCACTTCCTCCTCTGTCTGTGACATTAAAGGGGACATATCATGCTCCATCTCTGTCTCTAGAATCTGACTTCAGGAGAGAAACTAGACTAACTCCCTCTGCTGCCACCAGGGGGAGAGTACAGAGAGAAGAGAGAGAGAGACCAGAGAGAGAGACCAGAGAGATGAGAGAGGGGCCAGGGAGAGAGAGAGAGAGACCAGAGAGAGAGAGCAGAGAGAGACCAGAGAGAGAGACCATAGAGATGAGGGAGGGGCCAGGGAGAGAGAGAGAGAGACCAGAGAGAGAGACCAGAGAGATGAGAGAGGGGCCAGTGAGAGAGAGAGACCAGAGAGAGAGAGCAGAGAGATGGGCCAGGGAGAGAGAGAGAGACCAGAGAGAGAGAGCAGAGAGAGAGACCATAGAGATGAGAGAGGGGCCAGGGAGAGAGAGAGAGAGACCAGAGAGAGAGACCAGAGAGAGAGACCATAGAGATGAGAGAGGGGCCAGGGAGAGAGAGAGAGAGACCAGAGAGAGAGACCAGAGAGATGAGAGAGGGGCCAGGGAGAGAGAGAGAGAGACCAGAGAGAGAGACCAGAGAGATGAGAGAGGGGCCAGAGAGAGAGAGAGAGAGACCAGAGAGATGAGGGAGGGGCCAGGGAGCGAGAGACCAGAGAGAGCAGACAGAGACCAGAGAGAGAGACCAGAGAGAGAGACCATAGAGATGAGAGAGAGAGACCAGAGAGAGAGACCATAGAGAGAGACCCTTTAAGACACAGAGAATGCACTGTTTCTTTAATGACACGGTTCACTTTGTCATGGACTGGTTTAGTTCTGTTGTGAAGAGGGAGCAGCGTCTGCAGTCAGAGCTCAGGACCCTCAGGACCAGACGGAGGTCAGGTCCAGGTTCAGTTTGAATCTTTCAGAGACTCGGCTCCAGTTTGACGAGAGCGAAGTGGACAGAACTGTACTGAACCAGGTCAGAGAGAAACCAGGCCTCAGGGACCGGACCAGACCAGATCAGAGCAGAGCAGACCAGACCAGACCAGACCAAAGACCAGACCAGAGTCACAACCAGAGGCCAGACCAAAGACCAGACCAGAGACCAGACCAGAGACCAGACAAGAGACCAGAGACCAGAACAGAGACCAGACCAGACCAGAGACCAAAGACCAGAAGAGAGACTAGACCAGACCAGACCAGATCAGAGACCAAAGACCAGAAGAGAGACTAGACCAGACCAGACCAGATCAGAGACCAAAGACCAGACCAGAGACCAGACCAGAGACCAAAGACCAGAAGAGAGACTAGACCAGACCAGACCAGACCAGACCAGACCAGAGACCAAAGACCAGACCAGAGACCAAAGACCAGACCAGAGACCAGACCAGGGACCAGAGACTAGACCAGAGACCATACACCGGACCAGGGATCAGAGACCAAAGACCAGACCAGACCAGACCAGACCAGACCAGACCAGAGACCAAAGACCAGACCAGAGACCAAAGACCAGACCAGGGACCAGACCAGAGACCAGAGACCAGAGACCAGACCAGACCAGTGACCAGACCAGAGACCAGACATCAGAGGGCGGAGAAGGTCTTGCAGGAGGCTCGAACCCACAACCTTCAGGTCTCCCTCTGGTCTCTCTCTGGTCTCTCTCTCTGGCCTCTCTCTGGTCTCTCTCTGGTCTCTCTCTCTGGTCTCTCTCTCAGGTCCCTCTCTGGTCTCTCTGGTCTCTCTCTCTGGTCTCTCTCTCTGGTCTCTCTCTGGTCTCTCTCTGGTCTCTCTCTGCTCTCTCTGGTCTCTCTCTCTTGTCTCTCTCTCTGGTCTCTCTCTCTGGTCTCTCTCTGGTCTCTCTCTGGTCTCTCTGGTCTCTCTCTGGTCTCTCTGGTCTCTCTGGTCTCTCTCTGGTCTCTCTGGTCTCTCTCTGGTCTCTCTCTGGTCTCTCTCTCTGGTCTCTCTCTGGTCTCTCTCTGGTCTCTCTCTGGTCTCTCTCTGGTCTCTCACTGGTCTCTCTCTGGTCTCTCTCTGGTCTCTCTCTGGTCTCTCTCTGGTCTCTCTCTGGTCTCTCTCTGGTCTCTCTCTGGTCTCTCTCTCTGGTCTCTCTCTGGTCTCTCTCTGGTCTCTCTCTCTGGTCTCTCTCTGGTCTCTCTCTCTGGTCTCTCTCTGGTCTCTCTGGTCTCTCTCTGGTCTCTCTCTGGTCTCTCTCTCTGGTCTCTCTCTCTGGTCTCTCTCTGGTCTCTCTCTGGTCTCTCTCTGGTCTCTCTCTGGTCTCTCTCTGGTCTCTCTCTGGTCTCTGACTTCAGAGGAGCCTCATTGTGTTTGTAGAAAGAACGTGTTTATAAATGAGTTAAACCATCGTCACGACAACAGCAGTATTTACCTGATAAGAAACACACAGAGAGACCAGAGAGAGACCAGAGAGAGACCAGAGAGAGACCAGAGAGAGACCAGAGAGAGACCAGAGAGAGACCAGAGAGAGACCAGAGAGAGAGACCAGAGAGAGACCAGAGAGAGACCAGAGAGAGACCAGAGAGAGACCAGAGAGAGACCAGAGAGAGAGACCAGAGAGAGACCAGAGAGAGACCAGAGAGAGACCAGAGAGAGACCAGAGAGAGAGACCATAGAGAGACCAGAGTTAGACTAGAGAGAGACCAGAGAGAGACCAGAGAGAGACCAGAGAGAGATAAGAGAGAGACCAGAGAGAGACCAGACTTCTTTATAAATGAGTGTGTATTTACAACAGCAGTGTGTCGTCATGACAACAGCAGTATTTACTTGATAATAAACATCCACAGCGACTATAGACCCCTGTGGACCATCAGAGACCGTGTGGACCATCAGAGACCCCTGTGGACCATCAGAGACCGTGTGGACCATCAGAGACCCCTGTGGACCATCAGAGACCGTGTGGACCATCAGAGACCCCTGTGGACCATCAGAGACCGTGTGGACCATCAGAGACCCCTGTGGACCATCAGAGACCGTGTGGACCATCAGAGACCCTGTGGACCATCAGAGACCCTGTGGAGTGGCGGCTCTTATCTGAGCTCCCAGTGTCTCTGTGAACAGACTGAACAAACAGACCATGTGAACAAACACTCAGACCAGATCTGCTTCTGAAAGATAAGAACCACCAGAGACCATAGAGAGACACCAGAGAGAGAGACCAGAGAGAGACCAGAGAGAGACCAGAGAGAGAGACCAGAGAGAGACCAGAGAGAGACCAGAGAGAGACCAGAGAGAGAGACCAGAGAGAGACCAGAGAGAGACCAGAGAGAGACCAGAGAGAGAGACCAGAGAGAGACCAGAGAGAGAGACCAGAGAGAGACCAGAGAGAGACCAGAGAGAGACCAGAGAGAGAGACCAGAGAGAGACCAGAGAGAGAGACCAGAGAGAGACCAGAGAGAGACCAGAGAGAGACCAGAGAGAGACCAGAGAGAGAGACCAGAGAGAGACCAGAGAGAGACCAGAGAGAGAGACTCCTAAACGTTTGAATTAAAGAAAAACAAAACCAAGTGAGTTCTTTGTGCTTTTAATTTGTTCAGATAAATATAATAATAATATAATTCTTTGTGACAGAAATATACAGAAAATACAAGAGACTCACGTCATCCAAGACTCAGGTCTAAAGCAGGTCTAAAGCAGGTCTAAAGCAGGACTAAAGCAGGACTAAAGCAGGACTAAAGCAGGACTAAAGCAGGACTAAAACAGGTCTAAAGCAGGACTAAAGCAGGACTAAAGCAGGTCTAAAGCAGGACTAAAGCAGGTCTAAAGCAGGTCTAAAGCAGGTCTAAAGCAGGACTAAAGCAGGACTAAAGCAGGTCTAAAGCAGGTCTAAAGCAGGTCTAAAGCAGGTCTAAAGCAGGACTAAAGCAGGTCTAAAGCAGGACTAAAGCAGGACTAAAGCAGGTCTAAAGCAGGACTAAAGCAGGTCTAAAGCAGGTCTAAAGCAGGTCTAAAGCAGGTCTAAAGCAGGACTAAAGCAGGACTAAAGCAGGTCTAAAGCAGGACTAAAGCAGGACTAAAGCAGGTCTAAAGCAGGACTAAAGCAGGACTAAAGCAGGTCTAAAGCAGGACTAAAGCAGGTCTAAAGCAGGACTAAAGCAGGACTAAAGCAGGTCTAAAGCAGGTCTAAAGCAGGACTAAAGCAGGTCTAAAGCAGGACTAAAGCAGGACTAAAGCAGGTCTAAAGCAGGACTAAAGCAGGTCTAAAGCAGGACTAAAGCAGGTCTAAAGCAGGTCTAATTCAAAGACACAGTGGTCATAATGTTTTGGCTCATATCACAGTAACACATTGTTGTGTTTTGGCATCAGGGAGATCACACTTCCCTTTGTGAAGACGCGTGTGTGTGTGTGTGTGTGTGTGTGTGTGTGTCTGTGTGTGTGTGTGTCTGTGTGTGTTTGTCTAACCCAAATACACTTTCTATATGAACGAGTGTGGAAGGATCTGCAAACAAAATGTCATACGAAAGAAAGTGAACAAATCTCACGCTGTTTATAATTTTATCTCACACAATTCTCCCAGGTCTAGACCTGCGCTAGACCTGCTTTAGACCTGCTTTAGACCTGCGCTAGACCTGCTTTAGACCTGCTTTAGACCTGCTTTAGACCTGCTTTAGACCTGCTTTAGTCCTGCTTTATACCTGCTTTAGACCTGCTTTAGACCTACTCTAGACCTGGTTTTGACCTGCTTTAGATCTGCTTTATACCTGCTTTAGACCTACTCTAGACCTGGTTTTGACCTGGTTTAGAGTCTTGGACCCTCGAACACGGAGCACACACAGGAAACTTCTGCAGACACAGGGAGAACATGCAAACAGCTCTCACCACAATCTCAGCGTTAGAGCGAGGGCCGTGAACGTCTGAAAGTCTTTGGTGCAAAACCCAGAGTCTGAGAGACCAGAGGGAGACCAGAGGGAGACCAGAGAGAGACCAGAGAGAGACCAGAGGGAGACCAGAGAGAGACCAGAGAGAGAGACCAGAGAGAGAGACCAGAGAGAGACCAGAGAGAGACCAGAGAAACCAGAGAGAGACCAGAGAGAGAGACCAGAGAGAGAGACCAGAGGGAGACCAGAGAGAGAGACCAGAGAGACCAGAGAGAGACCAGAGGGATACCAGAGAGAGACCAGAGGGAGACCAGAGGGAGACCAGAGAGAGACCAGAGAGAGACCAGAGAGAGACCAGAGAGAGACCAGAGAGAGACCAGAGAGAGAGAGACCAGAGAGAGACCAGAGAGAGACCAGAGAGAGACCAGAGAGAGACCAGAGAGAGAGACCAGAGAGAGAGAGACCAGAGAGAGACCAGAGGGAGACCAGAGAGAGACCAGAGGGAGACGGTGAAGCTTCATAAATAAAGTTTGAAAAATAAAAAACATATAAAACAAACACAACATATTTCTCTTTTGTTTGAGTGGAGTGTTTGCGGGTGTTCGGTCCAACAAAGTCTGCATGTGATCCTGGACCCGAGTCTGAACCTGGACCCGAGTCTGAACCTAGACCCGAGTCTGAACCTGGACTCAAGTCTGAACCTGGACTCGAGTCTGAACCTAGACCCGAGTCTGAACCTAGACCCGAGTCTGAACCTGGACCCGAGTCTGAACCTGGACCCGAATCTGAACCTGGACCCGAGTCTGAACCTAGACCCGAGTCTGAACCTGGACCCGAGTCTGAACCTGGACCCGAGTCTGAACCTGGACCCGAGTCAAAACCTGGACCCGAGTCTGGGAACTAAGTCCATAAAAAAAAAAAGAAATGAGTTCAATATAAAAATCTGCAGAGATGCCCACCATCCTTCAGTCTGGACCAGGACTCTGTGTCTGTGGGTCTGCGGGTCTTCGGTCCAACAGAGGATCAGTCCTGAACAGTCTGTGGGTCTTCAGTCCAACAGAGGATCAGTCCTGAACAGTCTGTGGGTCTTCGGTACAACAGAGGATCAGTCCTGAACAGTCTGTGGGTCTTCAGTCCAACAGAGGATCAGTCCTGAACAGTCTGTGGGTCTTCAGTCCAACAGAGGATCAGTCCTGAACAGTCTGTGGGTCTTCGGTACAACAGAGGATCAGTCCTGAACAGTCTGTGGGTCTTCAGTCCAACAGAGGATCAGTCCTGAACAGTCTGTGGGTCTTCAGTCCAACAGAGGATCAGTCCTGAACAGTCTGTGGGTCTTCAGTCCAACAGAGGATCAGTCCTGAACAGTCTGTGGGTCTTCGGTACAACAGAGGATCAGTCCTGAACAGTCTGTGGGTCTTCAGTCCAACAGAGGATCAGTCCTGAACAGTCTGTGGGTCTTCAGTCCAACAGAGGATCAGTCCTGAACAGTCTGTGGGTCTTCAGTCCAACAGAGGATCAGTCCTGAACAGTCTGTGGGTCTTCAGTCCAACAGAGCATCAGTCCTGAACAGTCTGTGGGTCTTCAGTCCAACAGAGGATCAGTCCTGAACAGTCTGTGGGTCTTCAGTCCAACAGAGGATCAGTCCTGAACAGTCTGTGGGTCTTCGGTCCTGAACAGTCTGTGGGTCTTCGGTCCGGAGCCTCAGTTGAAGGCCCCCTCGGTTCGAAGCAGGTCCTGGGGGCAGGTCTTCCCGTTGAGCTCAGAGGGAGTGGGCTCCAGGCAGTAGCTGTGGGTGTCCGTGGTCTGCACCTCGGTGATGGAGGACGCTGTGTAGGACGCCGAGCGCAGGGCGTCGGAGTGAAGACCTACACTGGAGAACTGCAACTGGTACTGACTCCAGTGTCTGCGCAGCACGGCCTGGACCTGCGGAACCAGAGAGAACTTAGAACCAGAGAGGGAACCAGAGAGGGAACCAGAAAGGGAACCAGAGAGGGAACCAGAGAGGCCTTAGAACCAGAGAGGGAACCAGGGAGGCCTTAGAACCAGGGAGGCCTTAGAACCAGAGAGGGAACCAGAGAGGCCTTAGAACCAGGGAGGCCTTAGAAGCAGAAAGGGAACCAGAGAGGGAACCAGAAAAGGAACCAGAAAGTAGACTTTAGAACCAGAGAGACTTTAGAACCAGAGAGACTTTAGAACCAGAACGGAGGCTTTTGCTCCAAAATGAAAAACTAGTATAACATTAGAGTTGCATTAATTTAAACTGGTCTCTCTCTGGTCTCTCTCTCTGGTCTCTCTCCCTGGTCTCTCTCTCTGGTCTCTCTCTGGTCTCTCTCCCTGGTTTCTCTCCCTGGTCTCTCTCTCTGGTCTCTCTCTGGTCTCTCTCTGGTCTCTCTCTGGTCTCTCCCTGGTCTCTCTCTGGTCTCTCTCTGGTCTCTCTCTGGTCTCTCTCCCTGGTCTCTCTCTGGTCTCTCTGTCAGAGTGTGTGACATCACTCTCGGACAAAAGCTCCTTGACCTGCACTAAATAATGCAGCTCTCATTCAGGCTTTGTGTGCGACCACAGACAGACAGACACACAGACACACACACACACACACACAGACACACAGACACACACACACACACACACACACACACACACACACACACACACACACACACACACACACACAGACACACACACACAGACACACAGACACACACACACACACACACACACACACACACCTCTCCGTTGAAAAAGCAGAAGATAGTTGCAACAAGGAGACCCTGAAAAGAGAAAATGCAAGATTAAAACAAACTTCTCCTCCTCCTCTCTCCTCCTCCTCTCTCCTCCTCCTCACCCCCCTCCTCTCTCCTCCTCCTCCTCTCTCCTCCTCCTCTCTCCTCCTCCTCTCTCCTCCTCCTCACCCCCCTCCTCTCTCCTCCTCTCTCCCCCTCCTCCTCTCTCCCCCTCCTCCTCCTCACCCCCCTCCTCGTCCTCTCCCCCTCCTCCTCACCCCCCTTCACTCTCCCCGTCCTCCTCCTCACCCCCCTCCTCTCTCCTCCCCCTCCTCTCTCTCCCCTCCCCCTCCTCCTCACCCCCCCCTCCTCTCTCCCCCCCTCCTCCTCACCCCCCTCCTCCTCCTCACCCCCCTCCTCTCTCCTCCTCCTCCTCTCTCCCCCTCCTCCTCACCCCCCTCTCTCTCTCCTCCTCCTCCTCTCTCCCCCTCCTCCTCACCCCCCTCCTCTCTCCTCCTCCTCCCTCTCTCCCCCTCCTCCTCACCCCCCTCCTCTCTCCTCCTCCTCCTCTCTCCCCCTCCTCCTCACCCCCCTCCTCTCTCCTCCTCCTCCTCCTCTCTCCCCCTCCTCCTCACCCCCCTCCTCTCTCCTCCTCCTCACCCCCCTCCTCTCTCCTCCTCTCCTCACCCCCCTCCTCTCTCCTCCTCTCTCCCCCTCCTCCTCCCCCCTCCTCCTCTCTCTCCTCCCCTGAGTTTTTAACAGATGCTGATTCAACAAACAGCAGATGTTTAAAGCAGAGAAAACACCAGAGAGCAAAGAACAATTAACTCTATATGAGTTTAGACCTGGTTTAGACCTGCTTTAGACCTGCTTTAGACCCGGTTTAGTCCTGCTTTAGACCTGGTTTAGTCCTGGATTAGACCTGCTTTAGTCCTGCTTTAGACCTGGTTTAGACCTGCTTTAGACCTGGTTTAGACCTGGTTTAGACCTGGTTTAGTCCTGCTTTAGACCTGGTTTAGTCCTGGATTAGACCTGCTTTAGTCCTGCTTTAGACCTGGTTTAGACCTGCTTTAGACCTGGTTTAGTCCTGCTTTAGACCTGGTTTAGTCCTGGATTAGACCTGCTTTAGTCCTGCTTTAGACCTGGTTTAGACCTGCTTTAGACCTGCTTTAGACCTGCTTTAGACCTGCTTTAGACCTGGTTTAGACCTGGTTTAGTCCTGCTTTAGACCTGGTTTAGTCCTGGATTAGACCTGCTTTAGTCCTGCTTTAGACCTGGTTTAGACCTGCTTTAGACCTGGTTTAGTCCTGGTTTAGACCTGCTTTAGAACTGCTTTAGTCCTGCTTTAGACCTGGTTTAGACCTGCTTTAGACCTGCTTTAGACCTGCTTTAGTCCTGCTTTAGACCGGGACTTGAGGTAGACCTGGTCCCTACTGCGTCTCCTGGGTCTTCCCTCTAGTCTCAGTCCTGGTCTCAGTCCTGGTCTCTGTCCTGGTCTCTGTCCTGGTCTCTGTCCTGGTCTCTGTCCTGGTCTCAGTCCTAGTCACAGTCCTAGTCTCAGTCCAGGTCTCAGTCCTGGTCTCAGTCCTGATCCTGGTCTCAGTCCCAGTCTCAGTCCTGGTCCTGGTCTCAGTCCTAGTCTCAGTCCTAGTCTCAGTCCAGGTCTCAGTCCTGGTCTCAGTGATGGTCCTGGTCTCAGTCCTAGTCTCAGTCCTGGTCCTGGTCCTGGTCCACACCTGGTAGTGCATGAGGATGTGCATGATGTAGTCGTAGACCTCGGAGGAGACGCGCCCCTCTGGTTTGTACGGGAGCAGAACGTACTGGATCCCGAGGAGAGGGACCAGGATGAGAGTGGCCCTCACTGCCTTCATGTAGAGAGAGGACTCCGCCTGGTGCGTCACCTTCAGCTTCGTTATCAACACCCTCACTATGTTCAGCAGGAAGAACAGGTTCACCTGCAGGGACCAGGAGGAGCAGGAGGAGCAGGAGGAGAAGGAGGAGCGGGAGGAGCAAGAGGAGCAGGAGGAGCAAGAGGAGCAGGGAGGAGCAGGAGCAGGAGGAGCAGGAGGAGCAGGAGGAGCAGGAGGAGAAGGAGGAGCAGGGAGGAGCAGAGGGGGCAAGAGGAGCAGGAGGAGCAGGGAGGAGCAGGAGGAGCCGGGAGGAGCAGGAGGAGCAGGAGGAGAAGGAGGAGCAAGAGGAGCAGGAGGAGCAGGAGGAGAGAGGAAGGAGGAGCGGGAGGAGAAGGTGGAGCAGGGAGGAGCAGAGGGGGCAAGAGGAGCAGGAGGAGCAGGAGGAGAAGGAGGAGCGGGAGGAGAAGGAGGAGCAGGGAGGAGCAGAGGGGGCAAGAGGAGCAGGAGGAGCAGGGAGGAGCAGGAGGAGCCGGGAGGAGCAGGAGGAGCAGGAGGAGAAGGAGGAGCAAGAGGAGCAGGGAGGAGCAGGAGGAGCAGGAGGAGAAGGAGGAGCAAGAGGAGAAGGAGGAGCAGGAGGAGCAGGGAGGAGCAGGAGGAGCAGGAGGAGCAGGAGGAGCAGGAGGAGCAGGAGGAGAGGAGCAGGAGGAGAAGGAGGAGCAAGAGGAGAAGGAGGAGCAGGGAGGAGCAGGAGGAGCAGGGAGGAGCAGGAGGAGCAGGAGGAGCAAGAGGAGCAGGAGGAGCAGGAGGAGCAGGGAGGAGCAGGAGGAGCAGGAGGAGCAAGAGGAGCAGGAGGAGCAGGGAGGAGCAGGAGGAGCAGGGAGGAGCAGGAGGAGCAGGGAGGAGCAGGAGGAGCCAGGAGGAGAAGGAGGAGAAGGAGGAGCAGGAGGAGAAGGAGGAGCAGGAGGAGCAAGAGGAGCAGGAGGAGCAGGAGGAGCAAGAGGAGCAAGAGGAGCAGGAGGAGCAAGAGGAGCAGGAAGAGCAGGAGGAGCAGGAGGAGAGACCAAAGATGTTGTTAAAGTACATAAAATGTCTGCGTGTTTTTATGTGTGTGTGTGTCTGTGTATCTGTGTGTGTGTGTGTGTCTGTGTATCTGTGTGTGTGTGTGTCTGTGTATCTGTGTGTGTGTGTGTATCTGTGTATCTGTGTGTGTGTGTGTATCTGTGTATCTGTGTGTGTGTGTGTGTGTCTGTGTATCTGTGTGTGTGTGTGTGTGTGTCTGTGTGTGTCTTTCTGTGTGTGTCTGTGTGTGTCTGTGTGTCTGTGTATCTGTGTGTGTGTGTGTGTGTGTCTGTGTGTGTCTTTCTGTGTGTCTGTGTGTCTGTGTGTGTGTCTGTGTGTGTCTGTGTGTGTGTGTGTCTGTGTGTGTGTGTGTGTGTGTGTGTGTGTCTGTGTCTGTGTGAGTGTGCACTTGTTTTCAACTCCTGGTGGGTTCCATAACCTGAGATTCCACTCACGTCATGGGGACTGGTTTTACGTGGTGGGGCCCGAACACCGGACCCCACTGGTCCAAGCTTAATAATCAATGGGTAATGCTTTTCTAACGGTCCTTATGCAGTCTCTGTAAAAATATGGAAAGGACCCCTGGAGGTTTACTTTCCTGAAAAAAGTGTGTTATGTGTCGGAAACCTGGTGGTGGGTTGCGGGATATCAAGGAGGGGCACACTGGGGCAATTTCAGTCCAGCAGGCTGGAGCCAATCATGGAGCAGCACAACAGAGGAAATCAGGTGTCAGGCTAGAAAAAGGTGCAAGTGTGTGGTTCATTAGGCTGCAGCCAATCACAGAGCAGCACACTGAAGCGCACGCTTACAAACCACTGGTAAGTGCTGACTACAAGTCATGACTTCAAATTGTTATATAGAATTATTACAATTTATGTGTTGTTTGTGCAGCTTAGTCAAGAGTCCCTAATTGATGAAGTCGACTCAGATTCTGACGATTTAACTGTCAAGAAGAAACCTGTAAAAAAGTATGGAAAAAGAAAAATCAAAAACACTTTTCTTCAAGACTCGGAAAGTGACGAACCAAAGGCAAATAAGATTGTTATCATGCAGCTGCAAAAGAAGAAAAATGGGGGGCGAGTTTACAGCAAGAGACACTTCTGCCTCTACTGTTCAATGTCCTGCCACAAAATGTCCCGTCATTTGACTAGAAAACATGGAAATGAAAGTGACGTAGCCAGAGCATTGGCTCTACCTGTGAAATCTAAAGCACGTAAACTTCAGTTTGATTTGATCAGGAATAGTGGAAACCGTGAGCACAATTTTGAGGTTTTAAAGGCCGGCATTGGAACTTTAGTCCCAGCTAAACAGCCAAATTGCCCAGTTAAATCCAGTGAGTTTTTGCACTGTATAGACTGTGGGGCATTGCTTAAGCGAAAGTCGCTGTGGAGGCATGTGGCCAGGTGCCGGCTTTCACAGAAAGATGCCCAGGCTAAACCAGGCTAAACCAGGTAGAAGTAGGGTCCAGTCCCTCTGCTCCCTAGCCCAGCCTGTACCGGGAGGGCATCAGCAAAAAGCTGTGGTCTTTAATTTCGGCAATGCATCAGGATGAGGTCACGGGTGTTGTCAAAGCAGAAAAGGGGATTCTGAGACTCGGAGAGCACCTGTACTTAAAACACGGGCATGATAAGACAAAGCATGATTACATTAGGCAGAAAATGAGAGAAGTCGGTAGGTTAATTAACGAAGCAAAAACCGCAGGGAAACTGAAAACAATTAAGGATTTCTTTATTCCTTCCAACTTTAACCATGTGATTGATGCAGTCAGGTCTGTGGCTGGATATGATGAGGAAACAAATCAAACAAGACTCCATCCTTGGCCCTCAAACTCGGCCATAGCCTCAGAAAGCTAGCAGATATTCTTGAATGTGACTCAAAAATGGAGCATTGTGTTGATGAACTATTTATTAAAAACCTCCAACGAAGCCGGCTGCTTTTTGAGAAGAGGTGGGACGTCTGTGTTTCTTCTGCTGCCCTACAGACCCTCCGGCAAGCCAAGTGGAACACTCCGGACCTGCTCCCTCTGACTGAGGACGTTAGAGCCATGCATGCACATATTGAGGTATGTCGACCTGAATATGTGCAAACCCTAATAAGTGAGCCAACGTCTAAGCATTGGTCTAAACTGGCAGTTTTGACTCTTTGTGAGGTCATCATTTTCAATCGAAGAAGGGAAGGTGAGGTTTCAAAGATGCCACTGACAGCCTTTACCTTAAGAAGTAAGACTGGGATCCATTCTGACATTGCTCTGGGACTGTCCCAACTTGAGAAAAAGCTGTGTCAGCATTTTCAACGCATTGAAATTAAAGGGAAAAGAAGTCGGAAAGTGCCGGTTCTTTTGACTCCTGAAATGATTGCTTCGATGGAGGTGCTGGTGGAGAACAGAAGGGCCTGTTCCATCTCTGACCATAACCCATACTTCTTTTCCCGCCCGGGCGCAGACACCCACATCAGGGGATCAGACTCCCTACGCCAGGTAGCCAAAGAATGTGGTGCGGTGCATCCAGAGATGCTATCCTCAACCAAACTTAGAAAGCACATAGCTACTATGTCTACAGTTCTCAATATGAAAGAGAATGAGATGGACATACTTGCCAACTTCCTCGGCCATGACATTCGCATCCACAGTAGGGCTGGGATAAACGATTATTTTTTAAACGATTAATCTAGCGATTATTTTTTTGATGCATCGATTAATCTAACGATTATTTTTTTCGCTTCGATTCGATTTCGATTCGATTCTCGATTATCTCCCCATTAATTGACTAATATTGATGTATACATGTTGATTTAAATATTTTAATGAAAAAAACATGAATTCCTTCACAAAAAATATGTATTGCTTGCTCTTAAAATTAAAAAATAAGACATTCTTAGAGGTAGCATAAAACCTTAAAGCCTTGAAAACACAGCTTACTGAAAAAAGTGCATCTTATCATTCTTGAAACAAACATTTGATGCTTAGCATTCAATAAAAATATGAAAAAGTTCAGCCAAATACTTGTGTAGAGCAACTAAAAGAAAACAGTAACCAATGTAAACTTGAAGGCTTTAAGCTAAACAAAGAGTGCTTTTCCAGCAAAAACAGTGGGAGCCATCAGCCTGTCATGGCGTCCTTCCTGAACCAACAGAGTTTAACATTTGCATGATGTTATATGGGTTGTGAGGCGCTTTGCGTTGCCTTGTGTAGGAAAGGCGCTCTATAAATAAACGTTGATTGATTGATTTAAGTTGAAGACACATAGGCCTATATTACTGAAGTCCATTAAAGTGCATCTCTTAAATTCTTCATTCATATAAAAATAACAGTCAAAACTCTGCCACTCACCTTTTTCTTAAACTCAAAATTCAAAAATAAAATTCAAGTAAGAGTGTACAAGAGAAAAACAATGCATTGTGTAGCAAATAAAAAGGTCAACCAGTCATCCTTTCTTTTAGAGTTACTGAAAGAATACAGTAGAAGTCATCTCAGAGGACTTAAAACAACATTGAAGTCACCAACACAGATCAGAGAATCAATCAACAGTTAAACACATTAAGGATATTGAACACATGTTGAAAAATGTCCATATACGGCGGGCATGACAGTGAATAATACATGTAGGGGCTATTACGGGCGCCAATATTCCGTTTGATACAAAGAAAGACAGACTAGTTGTAAGAGTGTAGAGTTGCCACAGGACGCGTCATCAGCCTACGTCATCAGCCGCGGACTGCTATGAAAACATTAGCTTTGTGGTTTCACAGGCGCAGTTGACTGCTTAAACTAAACTTTGCACGAAACTTTGACTCTTAAAACCCACATGTGACAAAACGGAACCATCAACATCTCGCCTCAAATTGCATTAAAAGTGACATTCGTGTCTGAATTCGTTCGTATTTTAACTTTTAAAGAAATTCACGGTCCGCCATCTTGGTTTGCTTCGGCTGCCGTGAGACGCGCATGCGCAGGTTTGCATTACATCATAAACAGCTGAGGCTGTGCATCTCTTCAAGACAGTGTATCTCAGCGTTACACCGGCTTGCACTTCTCTAACACGGCACTCGCATTGCTACCGCTCGCCGCCATCTTTGTTTTGTGTGTGACGCACCGACGCGCATATTATACGTCGGTGTATTTTTTGCGTCGACGTCACCGATTACGTCGACGCGTTGTCCCAGCCCTAATCCACAGGCAATATTACAGACTACCAGAGGGGACACTGGAGCTGGCCAAAATCAGCAAAGTGTTGATGGCCATGGAGCAGGGAAGAGTGACGGAATTCGAAGGAAAGAGCCTCGACCAGATACAAATTGAGCCTGAAGGTAATTCTTGATATTATTAAAATATGTATGATTTTTTTCCCCTAAAGGCCACTTGTATTTTTATTTTCTGTGCGACAGGGAGAGCAGTAGAGATCCTCTCACAAACGGACGGGCTAAAAGAAACTTCAAGCGGAGAACCTTCAACCATTCATCCAGATGCACCCCATGGTAGTGGCAGTGCCCCTTCTGGTAAGTGTACCAGGTGGGGTATTACAGCCAGGCTGCTTGGTCCTCACCCTGGGAGTGTATATTGCTAATATATTTTTATTTCTCTCCCTAGAACGTTAGAGAAAGCCATGGTCTGCATCTGAGGTGAAGGCTGTGGAGAAGACCATGACACCTTTCATACAGACTGGAAAGGTCCCTGGGAAGTCTCACTGCCT